GTACATAGCCTATTTTCGATTTTAATTTTTCAACAGGTGCTCCCGATTACAAGTTATTGTATCGTATTAAGTTTTAAAAACGATTTATTTCATTATCCTTTATGGGACTATTTTTCTGTATCCCAAGTCTCTTTTTGTTCTGGCTGAATGAGGCACAGTTAATAATAACTGTTTTCGAAATTATCAATGCCATTTCTGCATAATCCTTTGACTTGATATGCTCTAATTTTCAGCTTTCCAAGGAGGATCACCTCGCTCTAAGCATCATAACCTATGTAGGCTGTGGAGTCTCGACGGGAGCCTTGATCATCACCATTATTGTATTCCTGAGTGTCGAGTGAGTGACCCTTTGTTAGGACGATTTATTAGTACAGCGAGGACTTGGGGGTTTCTGATACTTCTTTTAGAAGGTTCTCTCCCTAAAACAGTAACTGACCTCGATGAAATTGCCCTCCTATCCAAGCACCTACTTATTTTTCTTTATTCCCTTCGTTTCAGATCCTTGTCATCGGAACGACACAAAATTCATACAAACCTCGTGGTGTCACTTCTCCTCGCTAACGTCCTCTTTTTGGCTGGAATAGATGAAACGTCCAGTCCGGTAAGACGATTCTATTCATTATTGTAGTTATCTTGGAAATTGCTTCATAAAAATCTTTCCAAGAAGAAATCTATGTGAAATACAACATACACATGTATGCAACAGTTAAGAAAAGTATTTTTTCGGATATTGACACGATGTAAGTGTGGCGATAAGGAAATGTCACAACTTTCCTTGCATCGGTTTTCCGTTACACTCTTGAAAATGACAGCGGCTATCCTTTCCTTCTGTTCTTCTAATAATATCGTTTACGCTCGTTTAGATCATTTTTCATATATTAGCGTTACTATTGGTCCAATTTCCCGCTCGTCATTCAAATTAACGAAGACGCCCTTATTAAGTAAAAGACAACAGCTGTCAACTTCAAACTCGCACCCGACATAAAACTGAACATAAAAGAGGGAGGGGGGAATATTTCTCGGCCCATCCCTGGCATCACACTTCCATTGCTTCTATGCAAAAAATTTAGTCATATATTGCATATATTTTGTATCCAACGCAGAGTTTTTGTTTTGGAAACAATTCTTTGGAGCTGTTTCCGAGAAAAACAAACTTTACTTCAAACTCGCGTCCTTTAAATATTACTATATAAAATACCTTTATTTCGTTACACCGAAGCTTCTCATTGACAGGAAGAAATAGTTTCAAATTCAGCGCAATAGTTAAGAAAATGTTGAAAATTTATTCCGGGAAAAACAAACATAATAGATTAAAATTAAAATGCGTCATAATTTGAGACAGCTTGATTTAATTGGCTGAAACTCACCCGGTAGCGAGGACCAGCCCCGAATAAGGAATCTTGAAGTTGTGAGAAATTCTATCCAGCTTTTATTAGCCACCTTAATTTGTTAACTAAGGAACTAATGGTTCTTTGTCTGTCTCCTATTCTAGGTACTGTGTAAAGTAGTTGCGGTGTCAATGCACTACTTCTTCCTGACTGCGTTCACCTGGATGCTTGTGGAAGGCTTACATTTGTACCTGAAAGTTGTACAAGTATTCAGAACAGAGAATATCAAGATAGCTTACTATTATGTGTTTGGATGGGGTAAGTAGACTTCGTATTAGTTTCAGCTTGTATCAGGGTGTTAAATGTTTGATATTAATGGTAGTAATAATAATTAAAGTTCTTAAAAACGCATTTTACATACAAATGTCTCGATGCTTATTACAACTAAAAGAAAAATCTCTTACGAAACAGGTACGTTTTCAACACCCTTTTAAAACTATCGACAGAGTTAGTTTGTCTAGTGGCAAGCAGTAGTTGATTCCACAACCTCAGAGAAATTGCCGCGAAAGATCTGTCTCCGTAAGTAACTGTATTAGTTTTAGTGATGACTAGAAGGTTGGAATCACTGGAAGGAAGAGAACGACAAGGAGTGTAATGATGTAACAGTTCATTAATGTGATCAGTCTTCTTCATGCACACAGTTAATCTTACCGCGGTATTCTACAGTCTCTGAGGTTTCTCAATTTTACGGGAGGGAATTCCACAGAGCAAACTATTACGATAATCCGATTTCGATAAAACGAAGGCATGGACTATGAGCTCAGTATCCGCTCGCGAAAGATATTTTCTGATTCTGCCAATAGAATGAAACGAGCGCGAAAGAGCGCGACAGGTGTCGTCCACGTGGGGAACTAAGGTGAGGTGAGAATCAAGCATGACTTCAGGATGAACGTAATGATCAGCGACTTTAATCGAAGCAATCAGTTCAGCAGGAAAAACACGCGAAGAGAAATGTCTTTGCAATCAGTCTTTGACGGATTACATTTAACCACATTGCATCAATTCCCCCTCATGTTATCATCCAAACACAAACTGAGATTTTCTAAGTCAACGACGCGGTTCCCTTTACACATAAAAATGCAGAGCTGGGTGTTGTCAGCATATATCATTGCGTCGAAACCATGTGCGGAGATGATATTTTCAAGAGGGGCGATATACAGTGAGAATAACAGCGGTCCAAGGACCGACCCTCGCGGGACACCACAGGACAGATATCTTGGTCGAGAAAGAATCTGATCAAGAGCAATGCATTGAGGACGGTCTCTAAGGTATGATTCCATACAACGTAGAACCATTTCGCAAAAACCATAGCGATACCGAAGCCCATCGAGAAGGATAGCGTAGTCTATTGTGTCAACTGAAAGCCGCGGATAAGTCTAACAACACTTGAACAGTTTCGCATTTGTTGCCAATGACCTGACGTATATCATTAACAACTCGTAGACGGGTAGTTTCAGTACTGTGGTGCTTTCTGTATGCTGATTGGATTTTAGCAAATAAGCCATTGGTGGTGAGATATCCCTCAATCTGGAAGACCACTATTCTCTCTAATGCCTCAGCGAGAAACGACAGATCGGAGATGGGCCGATAATTGGCAAAGACATCCGCATCAGAGAGCAAAATAATGACTTCTTGAAGAAAGAGGGGAAAATGCTCTGCTCCAAAGACGCGTTTATGATATCAGTGAGATTGGCAACAGAACATCAATACAGTCCTTTAACAACCAAGTAGGAATGGATCGAACGAGGGCACAACTTTAATTTTTGATGACTGAATGATAGTCTTAAGACCAATCGGAGAGACGTGATCAAACTGACTGAAAGAGGTAGAGCACGATACATTAGTCACACATTTGAGCCAAGAGGAAGGTTGTTGAGAGAGAGAACGTCTGATATCAATGATTTTAGATTCGAAGAAGTCGTGTGTCTTTAAAGTTAGAGAGGACTTCACCGCGCTGAACATACTATCAACGAACTTGAAAGGGGGTTTCATGTGAGACGTACTAACAACAAGCGATTACAATTGCGGCAGGCAAATTTTCTTGAAGAAGGAAGTTCGTAGAATTGTTTAGTGTTTGCATTGAATTGTCATCGAAGTGAAAGTTGAGATCACCCCAAAGATGGAATTGACGGGATGTAACAGTCAACTCCTCTAACAACGCAGAGAATTCTGTGAAAAACCTTTTTTAATGTAAAGCCATTTTTCTTGGACGGTGGAGGTCGATATACTGTCACGAAGCGAGAAACCTTGCGTGCATGCGTGGAATATCATGCAGATTGTTATCATTATTATTATACAACTGTTTCTTATTATTATTGTTATCATAATTATCACAACATTGTTATTCACTACTCTCTTCTCCATTGTTTTGGGTTAGGTTTCTCTGTGCTTCCAGTTGCCATCACATTTACTATCAAGCCAAACAGTTATGGTAGCAGCGAAATGTAAGTATTTCTTCTTATTTTCTTCTTCCCCATATCATGATATGGGAAATCGATTGCACACACGATGTTTCATTTTCTTTTTGTCTTCACAGCTGTTGGCTCTCCATTGGGGATGGAACCATCTGGGCCTTTGCTGGACCTGTTGTTGCTATAATTGCGGTAAGTTTGATATTATCATGGATATTATTAGTTGATTCACATTGACTTCAACGTAGTCTTAGTAACTGCATAAATAAGAAACATGATCCCCTTGCATAGATGTTGACTGTACCTTACCCGGCATTCCACGTTCCCGGTCTGTACTCTCTGCTTCTTTTCCTGTTTCTTACCTTTTTTTGTAGTACAGGAAACTAACATGGAACCGAGTATCATCTTCCTCGTCTCTGTACTTTTAGCGAGGGGAGAGGTTGCAAAAATTCTAGATAATTTAGCCTGCATCCTGAAAAATCATGCCTGAAAGATTTATAACAGTTACGATAGACAAATAATTCATTTTATAGCGATCAAGCTATGATACTATAAGGTCAAACTTTTCCTACAATTCCACATACGTTTGTAATAACGAGGCTAGAGTGGATAAGCAAGGTATGTTGTAAGTCTGCAAGAAGTTTCTTACATCCGTTCATTTCATCCGTTCATTTAACTTAGATTGCAAGAGTTCGCTCACAGGCTTCGGTCCACTATGCTTTTCATTTTATTTTCACACTTCATTAACCTGAATTGATCTTTATTAATCCGAAAACGCCGTGCGGGAAAACCTGAATATTTATGTAACAAAGAAAAGTTTAACTTTTTCTCTTTTCTAGGTCAATACATTCGTCTTAATAATGGTGATCAAAACTGTTGTCTCTTCTGTGTCCGCTGTGAAAAGCTCCGGCCACGCCGATATAAAGTAAGTATTTATTAACACAGAGAAAAAATAGTTAGCTTTATTATCCAACAACAGTCCGTAGAGCACAAATAACGCCATAGACGAGTACAAATATCACGCGGTATTTCTACTCCAGAGTGCCGGTTAAACAGGTTTTCTCGCATCGCGAAAGCGAAGAATTGGATTCAAGTAACGAAAACAAAAATGGCGGACAATTTGAATCATATTTCTGACGACGAAGAGTCGGAATGGCTGGCAAATATAGATCCAAGTTTACTTGATGAATCGAGCGAAGAAAAACAGCTAGACGACCAGGAAATTTCTTCATTTATTGAAGAAAATAGAAACA